TAAAGAGAGATCTCTAATAAAAAAATACATACATATATATGTATATATAGACATGTTAATATAACATTAATGTAATATAATTCCAAGTATTATTATATACTTTTAGAATATATTATAGTTACAATGTGTGTGAAAAATAGATTGTTAATTTAATTTTATTCTATGTGCATGAAATAAAGACTTGTCAGAAACTGTGGGGAGGTCGATTTGGCGAAGATATTGACCCTGACTTTCATAATTTTAATGCATCAATTGATATCGATAAGCGACTATATGCCGAAGATATACAGGTAAACATAATTGAAAATTGAAATATATATATATATATATATATATATATATATATATATATATATATATATATATATATATATATATATATATATATATATATATATATTGGACAGAAATCGTCCGAAAAAATAAAAATTGTCTACTTAAGATATAAAATATAAAAGTTAATTTCCATATTAAAATTTAGTTATTAATCAATTTAATTGTTGGCAACTAATAAACAAGTCTCATCAATAAAATATACATTTTAATAATATCTTTTTATGTAACAATTTTTTTGATAGGTTTGGCGCCTTCTTTATCTTTTTTTTTGAAAAAATGATTTAAGAAAAGTCGTCATCATCATTATCGTCATCATTTTATTATAATATAATATATGCAAAGTTCTAATTTATATAAAAACTATATCATCCAGCAAATGTACATTTGCAATTTCCGATAAAAGAATATCTTTTAGCGGAACTTTCTGCTGTTAACTGCGCTCTAAACTCGAGTTAGTGCTCTGTCATATGTTATCATAAATAACGTTAATAATATCTATTTAATTGTTTTTAGGGAAGCATAGCTTACGCACGAAGTCTTTATAAGGCGAAACTTATCTCGCAGGAAGAAATGCAAACTATAAATACAGCTTTGAAACAGGTATAGGTTTATATTATTATTGTTTACATTATTTTTACTGTAAAAAAATCTAAGTTTGTTAATGTGTGTGTATGTACACATATGTATGTACGGCCACACGTACATCCGCTTATACATACATTGTATATAGAAGTATTTGTGGAAATTAATTTATTCATTATCTGTTTTGTAAAAATCAATAAGAGATGACAGATCGCAACGTGTGTAAATGTGGTTACGGATCTAAACGCGCGAATTCTACACAATATCATTGGTAAACTTTGATTTCTTATCACTCAAAAACTATTTTGCAGCTTTGATATTTTTGTATTAGAATTTTTGACTCTATTTTGTCTCTAGAATACATTATTAAAGTATGTACGGAGACACTCACTAGTAAACAATACTCATTTATATATATATTATAGCCAAAATAAGGAAATCGTATCTTTAATTAATAGGTGCAAGACGAATGGGAAAATAACAAGTTTACCATAAATCATGAAGATGAGGATATACATAGTGCCAATGAACGAAGACTTTCGGTACATTTATAATAGCATAACTTCCTATAATTAATTTCTCCAAAACAAAAAACCATACATAACAAAGATATTTATGTAAATTCGTAAAGATACTTTATATATATTAATAAAAGATAATTAACAGCATTACAAATGTTTTAAATATACAGGAATTAATTGGTGATATAGCAAAGAAACTACATATTGGAAGGAGTCGCAATGATCAGACTGTGACTGATACCAAATTATGGCTTCGAAAGTCGATTGATAAACTTCTGTTTAGACTAAAGAACTTCATCGAGGTAAATAAAATAATATCATTTATATAAGTCGGAGTCCTGACCAAACAAACAAACACAATCACAAATTAATATTAGAGCCATATGCTAAATGTTAATTCATTATTAATTCTGAAAATATTAGATTCTCATAGCTCGAGCGGATAAAGATATAGATATACTTATGCCTGGATATACACATATGCAACGGGCACAACCTATTAGATGGAGTCAGTGGTTACTTAGGTAAAACAATTCATTTATGTAAATTTTTAATAGCATTAAATAATAAAAAAATTAAATAATTTTTTTAAAATTATTTTATAATATAGTTATCACACATGTTAAAGATCTTTATAAGTTTCTACAAGATACTGTTAAAAACGGTTGGCCATGGGCAAATTTTCGTTACGATCGGTTGAGTTTTTTTTCGGG